GCCCCTTAGTTAATCAACCAGTCTGCTGATTAACTAGCTGCAAAATAGGAACAGTAATACACCGACATCAAGGCAGTATGAAAAACAAGTAACTTGCACCCGACACCGAACTCGAAGCAAGCAGTAAGGCATTCACCAAGCACAGGTGTCCAGTGAGAGCTGCCCAAGCTCATTACCCTCAGGCGTGGAAGTCCACCTTCAAATGCAAATGCTAAGTCTCCTGAGAATGGAAACACTCCCAAATGCCAGTGCGGGCACATTGGCAACACCAGGCGTGGGACTCACTCCATGACTAGGTGCGGCTCAGGGAGCAGGATGATCCTCACTAGACCTCAGCTGTGTACGCGCTAGACGTGGGAAACAGGATGAGCGGCGTCGGTGCTGATCACCATCGAGCGTCTCGTGCCAACGCCGGAGGGCAGAGGACCCCTTCCTTCCAGACCAAGCCCCTTCCTGCCAGGCCTTCTCAGAGCCAGCTTCCGCTGCTGCTCCTGGAGGCCAAAGGGCTGGGCTGGAAGACTTGTCTTCTTCTTCCCCAGGTCTGAAACACTGACAGCCTCGGACCACAGGGAACACAGCCCACAGGCATCCATGTGTGTTGGCTGAGCCTGGGTCATCACCCGGGGGGACATGAAGATCAACAAGCCTAGAAGAGAGAACCTTCATCCGAGGCCACAAGCAACATGGAAATTTCTTCACCTGATCTGCTGGTTCCATCACAAGCAGCTCCTGCTTCGACCCTGCTCCAGGGATGGCAGAAGCCTAAAGACAGCCTCCCAAGGGGGAGAAAGAGGAGAAAGTCTCCCTCCCGACCAAGGGATGCTCCCCTCCCCCCCAACCCTGCCCAATGCCTGCAGGAAGGCACACACTGCAGACGCAAACAGCACAGAGGCCACAGTGCACAACAGACCAACAGGCCTTTCTACTTGTTCCGAGTCAGCCTTCTGGGCAGCCCACAGGACCACTGCATCCCAAGGGCAGGGAATCTGCCCCAGGCCTGATATCCATATTACCCCATGCCCTCATCCTAGAGGCTGCACGGGGGGGGGGGACCAGTGGAATAAGGAGGAGCTGGCTTTCCATAACTGACAACTTACAGGCTCTGCAAGTCAACTGGGGCTCACTCAACCCAGCAGCACCTGCCCAGTGAGCAGCTCTCATCTCAACCCTCTGTCCTCATCCTCATGCCTGTTAGGGAATGACACTGAGTCCTCAACAAGCGCCGAGCTGGGGACAGGCAAGCCAGAGACAGGGGTCTGGCTCCAGAAGCCTGTCTGATACCATCCCACCTTCCATGTGGGAGGGCAGGGCAAGGACGGTGGGCTTGTCTGTCTAGAGGAGCTCACATTGTGGAGAATAACAAAGTATTAGGAAAGCACAAGGTCAGAGCCAAGGCTTGGAGGAATGTTCTAGATACTGAAAACATCCAGTTATCCTTATCTAGGCGGAGGCCCCAGGAGTGTCTATACAGGTTAAAGTTCATCTAGCAGAATGTTGACAATCAGATTAAAAGGGTGGCTAGTGGCAGCCAGCTTTCTCACCCTTGGGCTGAGATGTTACAGACAAGTCAGTGGAGAAGGCCCCAGGGCTAAGCAGAGGCAGAGTCAGGGCACAAACTCCTGCAGACACAGATGGGTATGGCCACATGCAGACTCACACTGTTGAGGCTACACAATGTCTGCAGGTGCCATCAGCTGATGGCCCAGGGCCCAGAAACTCCACCTGGTGCCCAAACATTGGTGTCTAAAGCCATTCTTGGGCCCGGTGTGATAGCATAGTGGTTAAAGTCCTTGCCTTGAACGTGCCAGGATCCCATATGGGCGCCAGTTCTAATCCCAGCAACCCGGCTTGCCATCCAGCTGTGGCCTGGGAAAGCAGTTGAGGACCCTGCATCTGCACCTGCATGGGTGACCCAGAAGAAGCTCCTGGCTCCTGGCTTCGGATTGGCTCAGCTCCAGCTGTTGTGTCCGCTTGGGGAGTGAACCATCAGACAGAAGATATTCCTCTTTCTCTCCCCTTCTCTGTATATCTGAGTTTCCAATAAGGATAAATAAATCTTTAAAAGAAAAAATCCTCTAGGGTTCTCAGTGAAGCAGCCAATCCTGCTGCCGAGGCAGCACACACACAGGATGCTCAAAAACTCCACCAACTCCACCATGATGGGGCAGGTCGAGGCGACAGAGAGTCCAAGAAAGAGCCAGAGCAAGAGGTGACCCTGGATTCTGTCCCAAGGTCACACTCACACCAAGACCTGAAGAAACCAGCCAAGGCAGGAGAAGGGACAAATCCTCCAGGGAAGAATCCCCAATTGTCTATGTACTCTGCACTCCCTGGGTGTTGAGTCACCCACTGCACCTGCCTGCTGAAGGGCATGGAGCCAGGTGGCTGAGCCCAAAGCACCTGTGGCAACCCAGATGGACAGTGTGCACCCTCGACATGACGGGCGAAGATGGCCTCTGACCTCTCTGGTCTCCCTCCTCAAACCAGCCCGATCACAAGGAGCAGACCAGGCAATGCCCAGCTGAGGGCCACCCCACAGGACACCTGACCAGCACTTAACAGAGCTGCCAGCATCTGCAAAGATAGCCTCGGAGAAGCCAGTCCAGCCAGCAGAGACTTAAAGAAACCTGGCAACCAATCAGAACGCAGCATGCTGGGTAGGCTCCCAGGAACGGGAGAAGGAGCTGAGGAGGAAAATATTTAAAACCAGAATAAAAGCAACAACATACCAACACTGACCGTGACAACTACATCAAATACACAGCATTAACACTAGGGGAGCCTGCATCCCACGCCAGATTTACAAAGCAAGAGAGGGAGAACCTTCCATCCACTGGTTGACTCAACAAAGGCTGCCAATGGCCAGGACTGGACCAGGTCAAAGTGAAGAGCCTGGAATTTCCTGCAGGTCTCCCAGGTGAGTCCATCTTTCACTGTTTTGCCAGGCACATGAGCAGGGAACTGGAGGGGAAGCAGGCAGAACTGGAACCAGCGCTCACAAAGGACACTGGTGTCACAGGCACCAACACAGGCCCCAGTTCTTTAAAATTAAAAAAGATAGGTGAATTGGTTTACGAGTCATGTCAGGTGGTAATTAGGGCCCTCTCAGCACTCCCTCCACAACAGCTTAGTGGCCACCAAAACCCTGAGAGGAACCTAAACGGTGAGAAACAGGCAGGTAGGTTGCAGCTTGGCCCACACAGACACAGCAAGAGGCAACGGGGACGAGCCTGCAAAAAGGAGGCCTCAAAGGTGCCGAGTCATCCGAGTGGACAGACAGACAAGGCCTGGGAGGACCGGGAGGTGACCAGGTGGCCAGCAGAGACACGGGGTGAAGAGGTGCAGCCTAAGGAGCCTGGCAGCTCACCAGAGAGCTGAAGCTGACTGCTGCCGTCCTAACAGGGGTGAGGACAGGGGTCAGGCAGACCCAGAAATGGTGCCCTCCCCACGGTGGTCCTACCCTAGGCGGAAATAAAGACCAGCCTGGGGAGGATCCCAAGGGCAGGAGGGAAGATGAGCCATCCTTTCACTCGTCCCCACTCTCGTACCTGCCCTGCTGGCGGAGAACTGAGCCTTCCGGCCAACTCACCCCTAGAGAGACCCAAGGACCTTATAGTGATGGCGTCGGGGGCAGGCAGGGAGAAATTCAGTCTCCAATCGGTGCCCTGCTCCCACTACCAAACATGAGCTCTCCCCCTGCAGATCGTGGGTCTTCTCACCAGCCCAGTGGGAGGCGCCCCTTCACACCACACATAGGAGAGGCATGGGAGGGTCCCAGCACCAGGGAGCACTGGGGATGGTGGGGGGAAGCTGCAGTAAGAAAGGCCTGTGGCAGGAGGCATTCCACTCGCATCCTAATCAACATGCCATTGCACAGCAGAGAGGGACACACAGAGACTTCCCCAGCCCCAGGGCTCTCCTCCAAGTCCCTCCCAGCTCATCCCCATTCATCCTGTTCCCCGCCACCCATGAGTCCTACTGCACCACAACAGGCTGGGCAGAAGCTGGAAAATGGTACTGATACACCAGCATATCTTGGTTAATGGAATTTCTCAGCAGTACCAAACCTCCTAATGAAGACGCGGGCTGCCTGCCCCCCCACACCACCACCACCACCACCAGCAGCTCAGACCACTTGGCCAGCCTGCATGGGCTCCCCAATGGGGAGCAACTCCTTCATCTTCGAGCCAGCTCATGCCCCAAGTGCCATGCTGTATCACACAAGTTGTTAAAGTGCCCTTCTGTTTCAGCCTTAACGGACCCACCTTTAGTAACACTCTTCCCTCTGCAAGAGCCGCTCGCTACCTGCCCCTTGCAGGCCTCCCTTGCTGCCCCAGGACCCCCGGGGGCCAGGGGCAGGGACTCAATGAAAGCATGGAAACACCATGAACCCCCATCCAATCTGCACAGGAGCTTAGCTGGCGAAAAGCCACCCTGAAGGGGACATTGGGCGACTGCTTTCTTTGGGGAAGCCTGATACACACACTCACACACACACACTCAAGCTGCAAAGGACCCAGCCCGCGAGCTGAAGACACAGAGGGGTCAACTACCGACTTCTTGGGCTAAAAGCCATTCATCGTGACTGCCCTCATTTGCACAAGATTTTGTCCCAAATGCAGACACTCACTCGTTCCAGAAAATCCCCTAAAGCAACCAGCCAGTTTCACTCCACTTCCAAGATCCCAAGGGAGCCTCTTTGAGGAATCAGACAGCCAGCAGCCACTGCAGGCTCCAGTGGCTTCCAAAGCCTGCTTTTCCAAACTCGGCCTCCAGCCAGGGTCAGTCTCACTGTCCTGAAACACACGTTGTCAGGACCACACACCTACACATACATGCTGTGGAGAGAAAATCTGAACAATTGTTCCCATCAAGGACATCCATCCGGGGGTCAGGTGGCCAGGCCCGCTGGGGGAGCCCACACGTGAGTGGTCAGTCACAAACACAGAGAAAGCGCCATTTCCGCCTTAGCTCTGCCACGGACGAGACAAGAGTCTTACCTTTGGAGCGAGTAGAGATATCCATGCCCTCCACCACCTCCGGTTCTGTTTTTATTTCCTCTTCAGCCAAGCTGAAACAGAGCAAATTACGTGCACGATTAGATGAGCTGGGGGACCGGCAGCCAGTGGGGATGGCTGGCTAGTCACAACCCCACCTCGGAAGACAAACCCCCCACCCTGGTGACAGAGGGGAGGGATTCCACACCTGATCTCATCAAAGTGCTAGGACTCCTAAAGGAGTTTTTAAAACACACACACACACACACACACATTAGGTTGGTCTTTGTTTCTTTCCGGTTATCATGCTACTGGGGGAGGGGAGCTCAGAAAAGTACTTTGTTCTGCAGACACCCGATTACGATCTGCCCCTATGGCCAATGCCGACCGGCCTGGGAACAAGCAAGTTTCTTGAAGCTAATGCAGGTTTCAAAGGCAGACAGGCTGGAAGATGTTCCCAGGGCACCCAGAGTTCCAAGCTCTAAATCCTTCAAGGCAAGGCCTTCCCAGACCTCCCCACTAAATCTTACAATTTCCTGATGAGGCAGGGACAGGGGAGGAAAAAAAAAAAAAGATTCAGGTTAAATTACAAAGCAGAAAAACACGTGCATGCTAGAGCCAAACAGCCTGTCTCAATAGATGTGAGCAATCAGCATCCACTCCGGGAGTCAGGCCTGGGGTCTCATACACACTCCCACTCTGGAGTCAGGCCTGGGGTCTCACACACCCCTTAGGGGAGTCCCGGCCCCTGGGTATTTCAGAGCAGGTCTACTTCTCCTTCTGAGCTGTAACTAATTTGACCTCAGCACAAAAGTGGAATGAGGAAGATTATTCAAAAGATACCAACTTGCAGTCCAGGGAAAGCAGGGCCCTGTGCTGTCAAGGTCTGCCACCTAGAACTTTCTGTCCCTCTTGGCTGCAGTCCCAGCAGTCTGCTTCACCTCTCCAAAAACCCCCTCCCCACTTCTCGTCCCCATCCCAACCACAACACCTCACAAGCCAACCCAAAGGGGTAAAGCACCAGCTCTGCTTATAGAGGCATAAAAGGCTCCAGGGGCTAGAACCTTCCCAACACACAGGCTGACACACGGTAGGAACCTGAGCAACCACTCTAGGGGTGACACCATCAGTCTGTGGGATCGGCAAGAAGCAACTGGGTGCATCACCAATCGAGATGGCCGGAATTTTCCATTTGGAAGACGCAAAGCCAGGGCAAGAAGGAAGCTGAAGGAGAAGAAAATGTCCTGTGTGTGTTCGGCAGCCTGGAACCCAAGTGTGAGAGACGGGTTAGGAGAGACCAGGGGTTGTGGGGAGAAGAGTCGGGCTGGGAGCTGGATAGAAAGGAAAAATTACAGCTCAGAATTAAATTACAGGAGCGCTCCGACTAACCAGGGGAGGAAGGACAGTAGCTGGGGCTTCAGTCAAGACACACACACACACACAGCTCAGGTATTAAGCTCCTTCCCAACTTCACGAACACACACCTCAACACGACACCCATCACCCAGGGAAACGACCGCCCTGTTGTCACAAACAGCTCCCAGAGGAAGAAAGCAGGCTGCTCAATCGAAACACATCACTAACAAGCCATATTGCAATGGTGATCAGTTGATTTTAGCACTAATACATTCTCAGCCCTGTGAAACACAGCCCGCCCGGAACACAGGTAGTCCAAGTAAAAAGCTGTTGTGGGCTGCTGCTTGGGACCATTAGCAATAAATTACAACCAAAAAAGCCCCCCTCCACCCCTACTCTACCCTGGCCACAGCCCGCCTGCCTGAGTAGATGGGTAGATGGCTAACTTCAAAAGAACACATCAAAACCTTGATCTTTTCTTTTTTTTTTTGAGCAACCAGCATTCTCCTTCCCTCCCTCCCATGAAGCATGTGAAACTCTAAACTTCTTGAAATCAATCCTATTTTTTTTTTTTTGAGTGATGGAGAAAAGAGTAAATTGGCACAGGGGTGAGAGAGACCATTCTGCTGAGCAGAGCCCCCAAAAATCCACTTGAAGGATTCCCACACCCACAGAGGGCATTCAGAGGGATACTGATCACCCAGGAAAGATACATTCAAAGGAACAATTGCTGGGTTTGTAACTTCGGGGAGGAATGCTGCTGAGAGACCAAGAAAATACAAACTGGTGACTCCAGAGCCATTTGCTGCTGCTGAGTTCACCAGAATCAACGGGGCCGCGGGAGGGGGTTGGGGGAGAAGCCTGTTATCTCCCCCAAGTATTACAAGTGGACAACACAATCACTTAGCTTTAGCAATACCACCACCAGCGTTAGCCCAAGCCCTCAAGCTGGACAATTTAAGAAAACCATCTTTCTTTTTACCCCCCACAAAGCATATCATCCCCCCCCAAAGAAATGCCAGCGTGCACATGCAAACACATACATACATACGTGCACAGGGGCACAGGCACATACAAATATTAACACACACAGAGACTAGCATGTGACTAAAAGACATTGCAGCGCATCAGCATTTGGAGGGGAAAACTTCATTTACAAAAGCAAAGACCAGAATGCAAAATTAGTCATTTTGAACAGCCACATCTAAAGGGACTTCCTTTTTCTTGGTTTAGTGTTAAGCACTCATGTTACTAAGGGGAAAAAAAAAAAGTATGAATATTACATCAAAAGTGATGGTGAGAAAAGATTTGTACCTGTCTGAATACTCCAGTGATCTTGGTCAATTTAGGTTAACAACTGTTCAGTCATTTAGGGGGAAAACCAGTCAAATCACAATTTCTCAACAGAAAAGGCAGCTGCATCTGAAGAAAAATACTTGAAACTTCTGCCATCACATTACTCAGAATACATACAGCTTCCTCCTTCCATACCTGCCAGCTCCCAGCAACCCAGACCATTTAAATCAAAACCAATGGAACAACAAGCCCCCTTGTTTCAAACTGACATTACTTTTGTTTCTTTAAAGGAATAAGAACGAGGGGCTGCACCCCCACCCCTGCCCCCACCCAGGATAAAATTTAGATTGAAACCCAAACAGCAGCCCCTGCTCCCACACAGGAAAAAAAATGGCATCACCCAGCTGTATACATTGTATCCATCATCATAACCTCTTCCATTTACCCAAGCCACTTGCCTGTGGATTTCAAAAACTGATACATATCAGGCCAATTCAAAGCAGAAACAACAGCACCTGCAAACACAACCAAAAGCACTCCAGCCCCCAAAGAATAAACCGATTTCACGGTCACGGTCAAGGTCTGAGCAAGGACGCCCATGCTTGCCCCTTCCCCTGCATTCCTGGAGAAAAAGAGCAATTAAAAGTTGCCAAGGAAGCAGTGCACCTCTAGGATGCTATCAGCCTTCTGATTATTAAATCTGAGGACTCGGGCTGGTCGGGAATTCCCAGAAATTTCATCCTCATCGCTTGCAAGAGAGAGAGAGAGAGAGAAGGCAAAGCATCCAGTTTTGACACAAACTGCTTGGATGCACAATGTTGAGCTCTTTTCTTCTTTCTTCCCTGAAGCGCCCCTGGCATCTGACTTTGCCCCAAGAATATCTACCCCATCTAGAATCTATCCCCAGCATGCCCCAGGTTCTGAAGATGAGGACGAACACACAACAATTCAGGAAGCATGCATCCTCTCCAAAGGGCTTGTCCCATTTTCCTGGTTTGTACTTTCATTCAAAATACCAGAGTCCAAGCTGTTAAAAATATTTAATTCCCCAAAGCATAACATCTTCCTCTTCTACATCAGGAAACAGTGAACATCAACATTAAAAAAAAAAAAAAACCATGCTTCCCGAGATCTGCAATTAATTTTTTAAATGGGGGGGAGGGGAGGGAGGGAATGGTTAGCAAGGCGGCTTTATATAAGCACTCACCTAAAACAGGCAGTCATCGGTAGCTAAGCTATTTATGCAGGATTCTTAAAATGGCGTCTGGCAACACTGCCTCACTCCTGTATTGAAGCTAAAATGGTAGCAGTTTGTTCAGTGGCTGTGGCTTATTTAAGCAGCCCTGCCAGTTTCAAAGCCACCTTCCTAAAGATCAGAACTAGGAAATGCTAAACCAAAGGAAGGCAACAACGTTTGGAAGCTGGAAAAAAAAAAAAGAAAAAAAAAAAGAAAAAAGGGGGGAAAAAAAAAACCCTGCAATGACAGGGAGAGTTTGTGAAGTCACAGGTTCCTAAGAAAAAAGTCTTCCCTTTCAGATCCTAAGCAGGCAACACCAGGCTGGGTGCTGAGGCCCCCAGCCCTGGAATCAGGTGGCTGGCAGGTTAGAAATCCTGCAGCTCTATGGCAAAAAAAAAAAAACCACAAACAAACAAAAAACAAAAAGCAAAACGGCAGACAGACAGGTGTCTGCAGCACAAACCCAGTCTGAGGGAGCAGAGCTGGGAGGAAGTCCTTTTGCCCTGCTCAGTCTATTGGAATCCAGCCTACATCCGAACGCAACAGGAGCCAGAGGTAAAAATGAACGTGCTTCAAGGACAGCAGGCTTCAGAAAAAGCCCAACTGAAGGGCTCGCCTGGATGCAAGGCCAAGGTAAAAAGGAAGAGACGCTGAGCCTGCAAACGGCCAGCTCAGACCTAGTGCTCGGGGAGACAGGGTCCCTAAGGCAGGGAACACCACGCAAAACACAGCCAGTGACTGCAGAAGAGACACCCCAGTGCGAGGTCCCCTTCGCCCAGGCACTGGATACTCACAAATTAGCCTTCTGTCCTCCCCCAGCAGAGCCCTGGGAATTCACAATGGGCTTTGCAAATCCTGCTAGCAGAGGCCGAGCTAATGGCCTCAGAGTGGATTGCTCATGGCGACTGGTCTCCCGGCCTCGGCCTAGGGACGCCTCTGGGGCTGGGAGTAGGGAATTTCAAGGTGACTGCTCTTTCGCTCCAGGGGCAGAAAAGAGGGCACAGAGCCCAAGGCCGAGGCAGGGCGAGGCTGAGGCAGCTGGTGGGTAGGCGATCTCGTCGGGAGAGTGGCCGACGTGGCGGCAGGCTGGCTGCAGAGTTGGCTTGGCCACACCGCCTGCTTGTTTTTCTGTAAGGAAAGCGAGTGGGGGAAGGGCAACCTAAAGCCAAGGTGAATCCTCACTTGTTTTTGCATTTTTCACAAACACCCCCCCCCCCAGGGGTGGAGGGAGCTGCGGGGACACATTCCCAGAGCTTTACTCCAGGCAGGCGCGGTGGGGCAGCGGTGGGGGGGGGGGGCCTGGAATGTATCTCTTTTTGGGGTCAACCAGGGGCAGAGGGAGGTCTAGGGCTTCAGAGCTGACAAACGTGCGTGCTCAGGTCACTGGAGAAAGGAGGGGCAGGACAGGAACAAAGGGACAGTGCTTCGGAAGTGGGTGCACTCAGCCAAGCCCACCTTGGCCTCCCCTCTCCCGACCCCTTCACTGTAGACCTGGACCGGGTGCTGCACTGTCCTTGGGCTCTCCCCAAGGAAAGAGGAGGGAGTGTTGTTTAAAAGGGGTACAATCAAGAGAAAAGGGAGAAGGGGAGAAGCTATTGTTTAAATCTCTAATTTACAATGCAACAGGCCTTGCGGCGTCCCTCTGAGCTGTTAATTTGTAAAAGCAACTGGGCTTGGCTCCCCTAGACTCACTTAAGTTCATCCTGGGCAATTAGAAAAACTGTAGAAAGTTTCCTGCGTGGTCACAGAGAATTCATTCCTAGTTACAGACCCAACACTGACCGTTTGCAAGAGCTCATAAAAGCAAGTGGCTCCCCTCCCCCACGTGAAGGCCACTTCATTTCCCCCAAAGCAGAAAGTGTATCCATCCTGGAGGGTCTAGCAGGGTAGAGGGGGTGGGGCAGGAGGAATCAAAAGCTCTAGTGTGCCCTGTTTGTTCCTTGCAGCTGTGTGCGTCCTCTTTGGGGACCCAGGAGGCAGAAGGAAAAAGGAAAACAGCCCAGCGCTCTGTTCCTCCCTCTGCGATTCACAAATGCGCCACAGAGAACTTTCTACAACCTTCTAGCTCCAGGAGAAACAGAATGGGGGAGGGCAGCAGAAGGCCTAGGAATGGAACACCAAAAATCCTTCAGCTTGCAGGATCTGCTGTTCCTACAAGGGACAAAGATGGTAGAAATTTCCAGAAGGTCGGCTCTGAGTCCGGCCACTGCAACTGTCAACCTTTCACTTTGCTTCCAATATATTGGTCTGAAAGCTAGAGAGAGGAGGAACCCCACCCCCACCCCACTGGGCTGCTTCAGGAGCCAGCACCCCTGTCTCTACCCAGTCCTGCTGCAATGCAGGAAAACAACGCCACCTGGAAAGGAATGAACTTTCCACAGCCCCACGCACAGTGCTGGCTGCTGAGCCAGAGCCAAAAGGGCCAGCCTGGCCCAGGGCCGGGCACTCCCTGGGGCTGCGCCATCAGCGGCAGATCTGGGCCTGCCAGGCCTATGGGAGCCATTTTAGTGCAAGGGTTTGGAGGACAAATGTGTGGCCCCAGAAGTCTGCTTCCAGCCCAACGCACAGCCTCGTGCACGCCAGGAGTGTTGGGCTTTGAGACTGCTCTCTAGGGAGACCACAACAGCCTCGACGTGTCCTTTCCATCGACAGCAAAGAGATAAGAACAAAGAAAATAGCCTGAGTGCCTGACCTCTACCTGTGAGTAGTGGGGAAGGACACTGCTCGGCATTAAGGAGGTAACATCTTCCACTGCCCGGCTGGCTGCAGGAAGCTGGCCAGCCTTACCCAGCCCGTCCTCAACATGGTATTTGCTTCCTTTCTCCTTTATACTAAATGAGCCTTTTCCCAGCCAGTGCCAAAGGTAGGCTGCTGGGCACTCCTTTCAAAGAGATGGCCGACTTCACATCGAGTTGGCATAACATGGCCACCAACTCTATCTCCAACACTCAGGCACACACCCAGTGCTGGAAGTACAGGGGCCTGGGACCTTCCAGGGAAGATTCTGAAAACTCTTTCACTTGTAAAGTCTAGCTAGAGCACTCAGAAATGAGAAAGAAAACCTAAGAAAGGCCCAAGGGTGGGTCAGGCTTGCAAAAAGGGCCCAACCGGAAATACAGCCCTAATTCCAACCAACTTGGGGGAGGGGGGTACGCCTCTGCAGTATTTAACAGAATCCTGCAAGCTAAGTACTGGCCCCACCAGCAGCCTCCCCGCCCCCACACCAGCAGTGTCCCCTCCCCCCCCACCACACCGCTGCTGCCTTCAGCGCCCAGGGCCGGGGCTCTTCGGAACCAGCAGGATGACTCAGTTTCACAAGCAGCTCACCTGCCCAGAGTCCAAAAAACCCAATCAAGAGAGGTCAGTCACCCAGCACTGAACCCCCCTGTCCTGGCTAAGGATAAACAGGAAGGGCAGCCTTCGACTCTGGCTGCAGGTTAGCCAGGAAAGCAGGGAATTCCAACCGCCTGCTGCAACCTCAACTCAACAAGGCCTCGTGCAGGAAGCATCCCCTCTCCCGTTACAGGGAGACACACACTCGCTTGTCAAACTCCTTCCACAGGGTCCAGAGGAAACGCACGCCTTTACTTACCCAGCCAGGGCTCAAGCAACCGACTCATGTTCCCAGAGTTAGGAAGGAGAGAGAACAGGCTGGCAGGTTTGGGACTTGATCAAAAAGGAAATGTTTTTAAACAGTTACATGGCATTATTAAAAACACACACACCACCACAACACAACCCAACAACCGGATCTTGACTTGCTTGTCAGGAGTCAGCCATGACTTTTTTTTTTTCTCTCCTCTGCACCCCCTCACTCAGGAAAACCCAGGGGACCACAAGATGGAAAAGGCAAAATGTAAGCAAGGATAAAAGGCACAGGAGTTCATTACAAACCATGCAAGAGGAGGAGGTGGAGCAGGGTCCCAGAGGCCTCACACACCTCCCCTCCCCAGGAGGCTGTCCTCCACACCCCCACCCGCCCCACCCCCATCCCTGCTCCACCACTTCCTCCAAGGCCTAGACAACACTGGCAGACACGTTTGCTGGCAGGCTGGCTCCCACAGAGCATTGGAGCCACCTAAGTCAAGAGAAAAGGTTGAACAACGACCTGCATTGCAGGCAGTGCCACACAGCTAGGCCCCAGGAGTCACACACTCCCCCCGCAGCCTTGCTCTGCTCTGCTGGGGGCCCTGGGCCCACTTCTGTCAGGACTTGGCCCAGCCTGGCCAGCCCCTCTCTGCAAAGAGAGAAAGACAGGGGCGAGCTAGCCCACTCTGCTAGCTGCCAGGCAAAGAGAGCATACTCCTTACCTTCCATTTTCTTCCCCCAGCAGGCATGTGACAGGAGGAGACAATAGTGCAGGGAGGGAGAGAGAGAGAGAGGGAGAGAAGGGGAGGGGGGGAAGCTGCTTTTTTTTTTCTTTCTTTCTTTTTTTTTTTTTTTTGGTTATACCAGGCTCTCTAGCTAGCTTCCAACTGTTCCAAACACCAGGGACCTGGTGGAAGAAAAGAAAGAAGGGGACCAACCCAGGGCCTGGCCAGTTTGCAAGATCAAGCTTTGGCTAATGGCTACTTAGCCATGTGACCCAAGAAAGCAAAAAAAAAAAAAATCTCTCTCTAAAACAGTTCCAAGTTAAGCTAAGTGCTGTGGGGGGTGAGTGTGGCACACTGCTCGCCCCCCAAGGCAGATGTCTGAGAGGGAGGGGGAGAAAAGATGGTTAAAAAGTCGAGCTTACCTCTGTGGATGCATTGCTAACACTGTGTAATGTCAATACTTATAAAACATGGAGGACAGGCTCCTAGTTCGCACAGAAAAAGGGTTTGGCACTTCGGCTGATGATCTGGCCGCCTCATAAAAGCTCATCCCCGATTGGCTGCCCCGGCAAATCCGAGTGTAAGGCCGCCCCGGATTGGCTGAAAGACTTCCTGAGCGATTATCTTTGTGAGGCTAGGGTGAGCAAGAGCCATCCTGTGCATAGAAAAAGACGAGCTCAGCTAGGCCTCGCACGGCGACCACAAGCCGAGAGAAGGGCCCCCACGCGCGCCCCGGCCGCCCTCCGGCTGGCCCGGCCGCTCTGACCTGCTCCAGCCCAGCCTGGGCCCCCTCCCCGGCCCGCACGGCCCAGAGGAGAGAGCCCCTGGGCTGGGGAGCAGGGGGCTCGCGCTCACCTGTCCCCTCACAGCGGCCCTCCTGGGCAGGGAAGGGCCTGGCCCCGGCTCTAGAACCATCCCGCAGGGGGAGGTAAAGCTGGGAGCAGCGGAGCTCCCCCCTCCAGCCCAGGAGGCCAGGAGGAGCTAGCCGAGAGAGCCCAGGGGAGGCGGGGAGAGAGAGGTCAGGTCTGCAAAGTCACTGTCCACGCGCCTCCACACCAAGTAGGCCAGGAAGCCATTTGCCTCCGGCCCGGGGCCTCGCGGGAGGAGGGGGACCCCCACCACGACCACCACCAACAACAACAACCGGGAGGAGAACTGAGGGTGCTCGGGGCCTCCCTGCCAGCCTGCCAGTGGGGGGTTGGGGGAGCCCTCGGCGGCGGCGCTTACCCTAAGCCAAGCGTGCTCCTGGCAGGCCACATGCCTCCACCTACAGACTTCCCTTCCCTGCCGCCCCCTCCCCCACCGCGGCCGGGGCCTGCTGAACCTGTCAGTTAAACAAAAGTCTGACTTCCTTCTGAGCCTGCGATGCCTTCAGCTTCCTGCCTGTTAACCCTCTCTCGGACGCCTGGCCTGGCTGGGAAAGTAGGCCCTGGGAGCGGCAGAGGAGGCCTGTGGAAAAATACCGGCTGCTGTGGAGCCGGCAGATGCAGAGAGAGAGAGAGAGAGGGCCGCTGTCTCCCGCCTGGGCTTCCCAAGGAGGCGTGGACCTTCTCGATCCAGGGCACGGGCAGTGCCTCCCGGCCTCAGAAGCAATTGAAATGCTGAGGGGAGACAAGGGCCGCCCCCCAGCGAGGGAGCCAGGCCTGCAGCCCCAGGTCAGCCCTGCCAGCCGCAGTCGTGTGTGTGTGTGTGTGTGTGTGTGTGTGTCCCACAAATCCCACGCTTCGGGCTTCTTTTTTGTGTCTCTTTGCAGCCATTCCACAGGCAGCAAGCAGTCCCCCCTCCCCCCAGTAAAAGGTTAACAACCAAGGAGCTACACCCAGCCAGGCCAGCGCTGCCTGCTCCCTCCCATTGTGGGCAACCCTGGCGCGGGCGGGAGATGTCCACACGGGCTGGCCAGCCGGCTGGCTTCTTCCACTTAAAAAAATAAAAACTGCCACAAGGTGCGTCAGGAGCAAGATTTCAAATAAAAACCAGCAGTTAAAACAACACAGTCCGTGCTCAGGGGCTGGGGGAGGAGGGCAGCCGTATGCCAGGGGCTACAAAGTCTCCATGAAATCGGGGTGCTGTGTCCCACACAGCAAACTGTGAGCCCACAACCGGCTTCCCCTGCCCCCTACGATCCCCAACCCGGACAGCAGATGACCACAGCAGACCAACGCCTCCTGCCCAGGGAGCCTGAAGAGCCTTCAGAACAACAGGCATTCGGGGGCAGGCAGGGCCCCCTGCCTTATTTGAAAAAAAAAGGAGGGGGGGGACAGGGTGTTGTCCAAGCAAGGAGGGAGGGACATCCCGGGGCTGATAAGGGTCGAGCGGTGCAGGGATGGCAGGTTTAAGAAAGGAGGAGCCTGCCTGCCTGGGGCTGGGGGTGGAGATCCCGCACAGACAAATGAAAGAAGCAAGGTGGCCCCCGCAGCTAGTCAGCTTGTGCTGGCTCCCTGGCTTGCTGGGCTACCCTGTGGGCCCCTTCCCTTACTCCACCACCACCAGTTAAGAAATGCTGTTTGGGCCCCAGCACGGTAGCCTGGCAGCTAAAGTCCTTGCCTTAAATAAACTGGAATCCTGTATGGGCACCAGTTCCCATCCAGCTCGTATCCTGGGAAAGCAGTCAGGGACAGCCCAAAGCCTTGGGACCCTGCACCAGCCTGGGAGACCTGAAAGAAGTTCCTGGCTCCTGGCTTAGGATTGGCTCAGCTCCGGCCCTTGCAGCCGTTTGGGGAGTGAACCATTGGACGGAAGATCTTCCTCTCTGTCTCTCCTCCTCTCTGTATATCTGACTTTCCAATAAAAATAAATAAACCTTTAAAAAAAAAAAAGAGCTGCTTGTTTCTGTGGCTGCCGTTTGAGAGGCCGGGAGTGGGGGTGTTGGAAAAGAGCAGAAGAGGGTTTGGTGGCCGGCCCTTTCTAACCACCAAGCCCACGGGCCCACGAGGAGTGTACGCGTGGTGGATTTGACCCCCACGTTAACGTGGGTTGCATAAGCAGCTGCCGCATCCTCCCCCTCCCTCCGGATCACTTGATCCCTGGGGCAAAGAGCAGGAAGCCGCCGGCATATTCTGGCAGGCTGCTGGGTTTGAGGAATGCGATCAGCATTGGGGCGATTTGGCCAAGGACAGGCAAAAAGTATGGGATGGGGGTAGAAGATGGGATCTTGGGAAGGGCAGGCCTGTCGGGGCAGGTTTCAGAAGGGAGAAGGCCCTTTTCTAAAGTGGCGGTGGCTGCCACTCCCCACCCCGCCCTCCCCCCGGGTGGGAGGGCTTTCCACAGCCTGGGGAACAACAGGCATTCCTGGAGCAGGGCCCAGAGAGGTGAGGTGAACTTCCCGAGGTCACACAGCTGGCAAGGACCAGAGGAACCTCCACAGCCCTCCTCACTCGGCCTTGGCCCTGGGCCTTCCTCTCAACAAGCAAAAGCAGAACTGAAGCAAGCATGGGCTCCCACACCGGCAGCCGGCGGGCGCTGGGTGGATTGCTTCCGGAGGTCAGCCCCGCCCCGGGAGCTGACCTGGCAGTCCAGCTGGCTGGCCGACTCCGGATCAGACACACCAAAACCCCCTGTGTTCACAGGGAAGCAGCCGAGAGAGCAGAGTTCCCCTCTCCCAAGCCACCTGGACCGCGGGGCCGGGGCAAGGGTTGGCGGTAGCTCAAAGGAGAATTGTAAATTCCTTGAAATCAGTGGTCCTCAACCAGGGACCGTGTAGGCAGTAGGGGGCGTGTCGGGGGAGTCCTGCTCCCTAGGGAGACTTTGTGGGGACAGAAGGGGGAGGAGAGTCATGGGAGGAAGAGAGAAGCAGGGGGGAGACATCCTACAGTGCCTGGACTCCCCGGCTTCAACGAAAGGGGATAAGAAATCCCAAGCTGTGTGTTCTCAACAGAAAGCCAGCACAGGCCTAAACAAGCGGCTCCTCCCTGGTATTAGCAAGCCGTGAGCTAATACAAATGCACTGCCTCTTAAAACTACCAAGGGACAGAGAGAACTGGGGGAGCGGGGGGGCCAGGGCGGTACAGGCTGAGTGTCCCAGGAACGCAGCAGGTCTCAGGAGAGGCAGGGCTGACCCCAACTCCCCTGCCCAGACCAGGCCAAGCCTTGCTGAAATGACTCCCCAAGGCCGCTGGCTGGCGGCCAGGGCAGCAGCAGCAGGCGCCCACAAGCTGCAGCCCGAGATAGCCTGTGCGGCCGAGCGTGAACGCCGGTACCCTTGAGTTATCTGCCGACAGCTAGCAGCAGGTTCCGTGGCGGTTAGACTAAGCAGGGCGCATGCACTGGGCAAGATGGCGTTTGAAATGCCTGCCTAGGTTTTGTTCCTTTTCAGCCCCTGAGAACCAAGGGCAACAGGCGGCGGCTGAGGCTGGGGGTCCCCCCAGGAAGGAGCAGGGGTGCAGCTTGGGAGAGGGGTGGGTTTTGATTGTTTTCCCACTTCTTTCTTGGAGGGAAAAGGCTGATGGGAAGTGGGGGGGTGAGGGGGCAGCCAGTGCCAGTGGGAGCACAGATATGAGGGCGCAGGGACCCAGGGAGATTTGCCCATTTCATCTTCCACTGGACCAGTGCTTCCTGCTGCTGGAGGTTTTGCCCACCGGGGAACATCTGCAAAGTCTGGGCAGGGTGTGAGCGGGCGAGCAGAGGCCAGGGTACAGCTAGCTCTGCGTGCTGCAGGCTCAGAGGCACAGACTCCTCCCACCCCCGACAGAGCAGCAACAAGCCACACACATCAGGGGTGTTCCAAGCATTGCTCTCCCCCAAGAGCCTCCACAAGGTGAGGAGCTTGCACAGCTGTACACAGTGCTCGGCAGGGATCTGAGCTCCAGGATGGTGGCAGCCAGCAGTTCCCCGTGCCCCTACCCTTGCAGACGCCTCAGCACCACACACACACACAATTGCAGGCAGCCAGGGACCTTTAGTGAAATGCAAGTCAGATCCTGTCTGTCCTCACTCGCCCCACGTGAAGCCCAAGGCTACACACAGTCCACCTGCTGTCCACGCCCCCTGAGCTGCGGCAGCCCTGCGTGCTTCTGCCCTCCCTCTCCACACACCTTGGCTCCCTGCTGCAGGCAACCTCGCTGACCATCCGACCCCACCCCCGGGGCCTTCCACGCGGCCCCTCCTGGCTGCCTTGCTCACTTGCCCACCCCACCCAACAGCTGGGCGTTTCTTCCTGCCAGCCTCAGTGGCTCCTCTCCTTCCTGCTCCCAGCCCCACACAGCCTCCTTCCCAGTTGGGTTCCCCCACAGGGGCCACCCCCATCTCTCCTACACTTGTAACAAATTTCCTTTCTCCCCCACATCAAGAGGTAGAAGGATGCTGAGATTGAGCCTGTGGCTGCTGGCACCAGCTGCTCCACCTGCAGCTGTGTGTGCCTTGATGTTTTCAGCTTTAGAGTGGGAGCAAGGCAGGCACTGGAAGCAGCTGTGTGACTCAGGCTAGCACTCACTGAGGGGCTGTCACCGTCTTCCTCTGCTCACTTTGTCAGATTCATTTATTTGTGGGGACCCTGGTGTGATGGCTCAATTGGTTAATCCCCACTGCCACCCCACAAGCGTTGAGATTCCTTGTGGGCACCAGTTTGTATCCCAGAAGTGCTCCATTTCCCACGCAGCTTTCTGCTGGGAGCCTGGGAAAGTAATAGAGGATGGTACAAACCCTTAGGACTCTGCACTCAACATGGAAGACCTGGAAGAAGCTCCTGGCTCCGGATGGGCTCAGCTCCGGCTGTTGCGGCCATTTGGGGAGTGTCCCCAGCAGATGGAAGATCTTTCTATGTCTCCCTTTCTCTTGGTACATCTACCTTTCAAATAAAAATGTTTTAAAAATCTAAATTATATATATATAGTTACTAATTGAAAGGGAGACAGAGAGAGGCCTTCCATCCTTCCATCTACTTGTTCACTGCCTAAATGACCATGACAACCAGAGTTGGGCCAGCCGAAGCCAGCAGGCAGCAGCGTCAGGTGTGTGTGTGTGTGTGTGTGTGTGTGTGTGTGTGTGTGCAAGGCTAGGACTTCAGCCAGTAGGCTACCATGCCGGGCCTGAAGTTATTTTTACATATACAATTGCGTTTCTCCTCTTGCCTTAACAAACACAGGGGCAGAATTAACATAGGTACTCACCAATTCAGAGTTGTAGCAAAAGCAAGGAGAAGTGACCCACCTAGTCTCACCTCTGGGCCACTGGCAGAGAGCTGGCACCTGAGTGATCAGCTATCCCGGAATGGGAAGAGGAAGTCAAGCAGTTCACCCTTCTGAGCTTGGACTGGAACCCAGGTGCCATAGTGATTTTGTCTTCCCTGAGACAGATGATGCATAAAAATATCATCTCCACC